TGAAGAGGCCTTACCGAGCTCATTAAGTGGGTAGCTACCCTGGGGTTCTCGGGGGGTTATCGGGGAGCGAGGCAGTCAAACCAGGCCAGGAACATGTAAATTAAGTGATCAATAGCAGTATTATACACAAAATGAGATCTATTATGAATAGCTTCAAACATTAATTGTTACTGTGCGATATGAATTGTGGAGCAGGCACATGATCTCCGATAAGCATTTTGATATAGGGTTATATGTGGCCAAGAGTCAGGTGATGAGGGTGTCATTTACTATGCGGATACCATATTAAATAACACAAGTGATGACAAATGGTTGGCTGAGAAAGCCTATACCTAAAAAGAACTTAAGGTGTACAGATAGCAAAAAATGACGCTAAGGGTGTGCAAATAGTCAAACTCTTACCTAGCTCTAGAGTACGTATAGTAGCTTCGAGTATAGATCACGCTTACGGTTTTCTTTAATTACGGCAGCCTCTTTAGCAAGCTACATAAACTCGGCGAGAAAGTTAGTGAAGCTATTCTTTAGCTTAATTATTAATTTATAGTATACAGTGTAGGCTTTAGCACGTCGATTCGGATTCGCGAAGATAGTCTTTAGGTAGACGATTATATCCTTAGCATCTATATAGGGGTTACTCGACTTAGAACTTATTTAGGGTACAATATATAACTAAGCCTTACCTTCGTAACGACCCTATATATAGAGCTTAAGATATACTAGCAACGGGTAGTAGTCGGTATTCGCTTCGAGTTTCTATCGGATCACGGTTTCCTATATCTTAAATCGAACTTCTTTACTGTCGCTAAATATCGGAGCGTCCGGTATCTTCGTAGTCTTTCGGGTCGCGGTGGCCTCTATCATCGGTGCACTAGCTTGGTTCTATAAATTCACGAGATAGAATATAAGATTACCCTTCTCACGAACTATAATGTCTCGATAAGCAATCACCTTATCTCGCTCCTATATAAGCGACTCGATGATAATCTCGGTTCCAATCTTATCAGAATAGAGGACTATCACTTTGTCCTCTAATTCCTAGACTTTCTTTAAGTTCTGGTACTCGTGGGCGAGCTCGTGAAACCGTTCACGAGTCGGAGTCTTCTACAATCGTGCACGTATAGAGGAACCTTCTCCAGCGTGATCTTCTTTATTACATTCACTAGTATCAACTAGTCTCTACGGTTCGGGGGTCGGGGTATTTGGGTCGAGGGCAGCGATAATCTCCTACTTAACGGATTCTCCTTTATCTTTAGGCAAATCAGTAACCGGTTGCTTGCCACGGTTCGTCAGGTATCTCTTCGATCCGACCATTTTGACTGGTTAGATATTAAGTTCGGGTTCGGGTTCAGTTTAGGTCTTGTCTTATACGATGCCAAGGAACGAAAGTGGGGTAAAGCTAGACCGAAACTAATCACAATGATGGTCTATAAATTCGTACTGCTTTATTGGAAATGAAAGTGGTACTTAGTTAGTATTATGTTACTAGCTAATTCTTTAAAAAAAAGTGTATTTCAACGAGAATAAAGTATAGAGAAAGAAAGAAAGAAAGAAAGAAACCTACGAGATAGGAACCTTAATGAGGTCCTACCTACTACGTTAGATAAATAGTGCAAACTTTTAATAAGGCGGAAACTTCCGGCAGTCCTCCCAGATCGTTATAACCGGCGGGATACCATTATAAATCGAGGTTATATCCCACCTACTTTACTCTGTACGTAGCTTTGAGAGAGATGATACTCAGTCTATAAATAAAGCTGTAGATGAAACTGGAGATCTCTGGATGGGTTATAGAAGAGAGAAGCTATCTACAGGTTTAGCTAGACTAAGTACTAGGAGCAAACAAAGAAGTTATTTGACTTCTAATACCCCCCACGACTAGTACATAGTTGTCCTGAATAGCAAAAGACCCTTCTTCTCTATGAAATAGAAATAACCCGCATTTTTGTATGTAAATCGAAAATTAAAAGTACAGGTCGCTTTTGTAGGTTGTTAGACCCATCTGCGTTACCTAGCGCTTGAATATCGTTTTTCCGAGAGGCTTTGTGAGACCGTCGGCAGCCATTTTAGCTGTCGAGATTTTTATGAATTCTATATTACTAGCTGCGACTTCTTCACGAAGTCGATGATAGCGAATGGCAATGTGTTTAGTTGCCGCATGGAACTCCGGATTTGATGCTAAAGCAATTGCTCCATTGTTGTCTGCAAAAATTAGGAATAGGCTTCCTAAGAAAACCTTCAATCCCAAATTCTGTAAGCAGTTAAGTTAACTAAATTGCTTCTTGTACTGCTAGAGCTTCAGGAATGCATTCACTTTTAGTGGTGGAGAGAGCAATATATGGTTGTTTCTTAGAGGTCCAAGAAATTGCTCCACTAGCCATCTTGAATAGGAAACCAGATTTAGAAAGTCCTTTCGCACTATGTGGTCCTGCCTAGTCAGCATCGCAGTAGCCAGAAACTACCATTGAGCGTAAATTTAGATCTATTTCTGGCGAGAAAGAAATCGTAAGAAACTTTGTGCCAGTAAGATGGCGAAACACCCCTTTTTAGTGCTAGAAGTGAGTTTCACCTAGATTTTTGGCATACTTATCAAGCTTAATAACATTAAATGAGATATCTGGCCTAGTAGATACCTTTGACTAGATTAGTGTGCCGACCTTGGTTTGATATTCAAGGATCTATCCTTTCGTCGCAGTGTCTTTAAAAGGGAGTAGTGGTAGCTTTTTATCCATTGGGGTAGCCACTGGTTTACACTTCTCGAGACCAAAGCGGGTAAGGATTTTATAAATATAGTCAGCTTGTGATAAATGTATCATCCCGTTAAGATCGGTATAGTGGACATTGATTGAAAGGTATCGTTAAGGTGCTTTGAAATAGTATCTTTAAAATGTTAAATTATATCCTCCGACGGAGAAAGAACTAGTAAGTTCTCGACGTACACTATAATAATATAAATCGGTATACTACCTAGTTTAACAAAGATTGAATGATCCGACTGAGTTCGTGTGAAACCTATTGATATCAAGATATTATAAAGTAGCGAATACCACTCCCGGGGGCTTTGTTTTAGTCTATAGATCTTTTTTATGAGTAGGCCAATGTGGTTAGGATATTTATCTCGCTGACCCTCTCGTAGTTTAATTTCAATTGGCTCTTTTAGTTTAGTATAGAGAAAAGCCGTAATAATGTCAATATGATATATGTGCTAGCCTTTTGCTGTAGTAATTGTTATAAAGATCTTGAAAGATATAGGCTTAGTGATAATAGCATAGACTTCGTAGAAATCTAGATCTTTACTTGTCGAAAGCCGCGAGCAATATGTCATGCTTTGTAGGTACCGTTATGCTTGATTTTAAACACCTAGCGGAGTGTAAGCGGTTTCTTCTTGCTTTTGGAGCGAGATATAACCTTCTAGGTGTTGTTTACTAAGTGACGATGTAGCTCTTTGTGAGCAGCAACTAGCTATTTATCATTTTCGATATAGGATATAGCTTGTGCCTAGCCATTTGGTTCAAAGCTAACGTCGTTAGATGTTAATGTGGAAGCAGTATGCTTAGCCGTAGTAGTAGAGAATAGTTCGATAATCCTCTCTGGACAATTAGTAAGGAACTGAATGACATTTATGTTAAAGAAGGATCGACTAACGTATTCGATAAGCGAGCTGGCCATGTAAGCGAGCTGGCCACCCCAACCAAAACGCGTCCATGAATTAGATC